TTTTTGTATAGATAGTAAATCCATATTATGATCCTGAATATACAAACAAGTAACCTTTAAAACTTGAAATTACTAAATACTTTAAATAAAAATGCAGGGAGAATTCAAAATGAATTTTTTTTGTTAACACATATGAGGGAAAAATACCCATTATTTTTTTCAACAAGATTAAATATAATAAATACCCATCACGACTTCTCCAAATTGCCTTTATTGTAGTATTATGTGACGCTGTCTGTATATAAACGTACGTGTGGATAGTTACCCTACATGTCTTTGAACAATCTCTTTATCAGCTTCTTTGAACAATAGTTATCATTTTTTAATGAAATTTGATATATTATGTACATCGTAGTAGCCGATTAAGTTTTGGAATGAACAACATTTTGACAAAGAGATTTTCGCCATTTCATATGGAATAGACCATTAGACCAAAACCAATCGAATATTTATATACACGTAGTTAAAATCATCAATATAACCTGAAGGGCATGTCGAATAATTTCGAGCTGATTAATAAAGTGATAGATGTATACATATATACTAATGTCTATATATAATTTTTTATTAAGTAATATTTTTTTGTCGACTTTTATTAAGTAATATACATATATATATATATTATATTATTTGTATATAGAACATGCATGATGCATGTACTTACAGATTCATATGAAAGTACATGTCTCATGTATCCTTCTAGTTTTGATAATTAGATTAGTTTCCACTTCATAGTCTTCTTCGTCTTTTGTTGTAGGCCATGACTATAAATTCTTCTCAAAGATGATGAGCTAGGTGAGGTTAAGGTTCACTAGTTAATACTAAATATAACAAGTCACAAGCGTGTATATATAAAGCTTGATTGAGTTCATATCCAAAAGAAAACAAAATGTTTCTATCGGCAGAAAAAGAAAAACGAAAAATCTATATCATTTTCGCGTTTACGTTTACGTATATATACATATCAAAGAAAAAAAAAACAATCACAAAAAGTCTATTGTTATTATAATTTTTTTGGTTAAATTGTTATTAGCGACACTATTGTTATTAAATTTCATTTCGGATGATCTTAGCGACACTATTGTTATTATATTGTAAAATTGTAATGGATAATTGATTAATCAATTCGTTAAAGAGACAATAGTTGACTGGAGAGAAAACATATCATGTGCTTGCATTATGATAAGCTAAAGAGTAAATGATGATCTCAAAAGGAGTTTATTCCTCATTATCTGTACTTATATATCCATTTGAATTATTAATTCAATCTTTAATTTGGCCATAATCTCATCTCCATTTTCGTACCAGACAATTGCTAAGGGTTTAAGTAGCGAACACAAATTTAGCGGAATCTCTATATTTTTCCATTCACTAGTGTTTGAACAGTATACAGAAAGGACTAAAACTCATCCTATGACTTTGATGATGCGGTAGAATCTCAGGTTTAGACCCTAAAAAAAGACTCCTAATTTAATCTATGACTTGATGATGCGGAGTACAATTTAATTTTGTAGATTAATGACACTATCGGAAACAGAATGTAATCAATTTATATATATAGCGATATCAGTATTTGAAAGATTTACTTCTTTGTTTAGTGATGAATTGCTTTTAAAAATTTTAATACAATTTCAATTATAGTTGACTATTAAAATTATTTTAGATAACAAAATATTTAAATTTTCAGGTTCTGAAAGTTAATTTAAACTTGGCTTTGAATCTCCTAAATTTGTTTAAAAATATTGATACAACTCTATTACTATGTACCTCCATTTAAAAGATTAATTACTTAGCATTTTGTGTAAAAATTTATATACGACACATTGTTTAGAAAAAGAGATGTTTGATTGAGCGAAACCGAAATAAAATTTTGAAATAATGATAGATTACAAAAAAAAAAAAAAAAAAAAACCAAAGCCGGTACAAAACAGTTCTCCATAAACAAAGCCTCACAAATTGAGAGAATTAGAGATTCTAAATAAAAGAGAGATACTTTTTGAAAATGCCAGATAAAACAAAAGGTTAAAAAAAAGAGTAAGTACTAACAAGAAAATATCAAAGAGCGGCATTACGACGGCTAGACCGGTAGTCTATCGACTAGGCAAAAAGAAAGCAAAACCCTTTACACTAACATCTGCTTTTATCGAATTCATCACTCTTTTTTTTTTTTTTTTTTCGAATTCATCACTCTTAACAAAATGTAAACAGCATATATTAAAACCAAAAAAAAAAAATGTAAACAGAGTACTTATAAGCGTACGTGTAGTCTTTCACTGGGTTGAGACAGAGAAGGGTCCTACAAAGATGGAGTCGAGATACATTATCCACCACAGTCTCGCACATGCGATTGCCTCCGCTTCCCACTGGGCTCCTCAATTTTCTAATACTCTACAACGCGTCTATAGAACTTATTGTACACTAATGTTGTTCCTACCGTCAGATATATCGGCTAAGCCGTTAGATGTAACTATTTCTTATCAAAATCGCGGTTGACTATTAAAGTGGGCTCAAAGTGAGCTCCAAAGGGCCCATCGAGTTATAGATTTCCTGTTTTCTAAAGAGCTCCACGTCCAAGTAAAAAAAAGTTGTAATGCCGCAAAACAGTTTAGAAGAAAAGAATTGTATGCACCACATATAAATACTTGTATAGTTGACATTACTAAAAATACCATATTTTTTACTTTTTTTCTTACTCAAAATACAACAACATGTTTAAGAAGTCTTAATAAACTGTTAAGAAATGTAAATCAGTTGTAGTAAGCTATCATAAAATCTTAAGGAGATTTCTTAAACAAAAAAGGATGTGATGTATTTAACAAAGATTTTTAGTTTAAGACTTTGAGATATGATTCTATTTATAATATTTGTACGTCAATAATTGATGCTACATTTATCGAAGCCGCCTCTGAGAGACTAAGACTTGCCTTATATTCCATGAAAATTCCTTTTTTTTTTGTTACATGCCAGTTTAATTTGTGAAGGGAAGGCAATGGACGAGACAACGAATCCAGTTTTATTTTACTTTTACGATGATGGACTTAATATAAGCTTATAAAATAATAAGTTGATATTAGTTCTCACATATATTAGTTTAGTTTTTTTTCGTAACAATAATAGTTTAGTTACTAACAATGTAATGTACGTCTTTTAGTATCCGGAAAATTATGTCTTCGATCTAAAATATTTTCATATTTAAGATGGAGTCGCTTTCTTTGATCTTAACGTACAGTACTCGAATTCGGTTTCTGCACGACTTAAATATTCCATCCAACTGATTAAACTAATAGCTAGTGTTTGAAAAGATGAGACTAATTTTGTTATATAATTTTTGAACGACAGTTATTCGTTTCAGTATGATAAATCAATGATATTTACTCATCTTGGATGTTCTAGGTATAGTTGATTAAAAAAAAAGAAGGTATAGTTAATTATTGTGATATTAAAGTTAGAAGGAGCAAAGGTACAAATATTATATTTTAATGCACATAAGCAAATTAAATATATGTATTACCAATAATGGCGCGGAATCATTGAGTGTTTTATGTCTGGCATAATATTATATTGGTTCAAACTTAGTTAAACACACTTCAGAAGTGATTAAATATTCAGTTAAACGAATATAAAATTATGTTTTGTTTTGTTAACTTTAATCATTGAAACGAATTCTTAAACTAATTGTCTCCTGATTAAGAAAACAATTTTTTACATATGGAATATTATATGTATGAAATTATGTATAATTTTATCGTGATGATTATTTTAATACATAGTGAAGGTAAATTTTGGTTTTCTTACAACATAGACTTCGTTCTATTTTGGCTAAAGGAACAATAATTTATTTCCTGAACAACGAAAATAGTAGTGGCATTAAATTATTTATGAGACTTCCTTATATTTCCATATAAAAACAGCAAAATGTTATACGTGGAATAGACTCTTTTTATCTCGAAGAACTTTATGGTTGCAAAAATAATTATGTAAAAGAATTAGACGCGCCACACATTTATTACAAAATCATAAATGCGAAATATACTAGCTGTGGACAACGTTCTAAATAATTTAATTTTCGAACCCAATTTCAGGTAATATACAAATATATAATTCATTGATAAATATATAGATTCTAAATATATACGTTTTTCCCCAAACAAAAGGTTAGCGTGTGGCTCGTAAATCAACCCTTTAAGAAGAAACTAAGCTTAATAATTAAGTTCCACACCAAAAAATATATAAGTGCACACAGTCACATCCTTTTCAAAGTCTTAAAAGTATAATCTTTTACTTATATTCGTTCTCATAAGTTACTGAAAAGTGTGACTTTTATATCCATACCAACTATCAATTTTACTGAATAAATATACGGAATTAATTATTTATTTTTAATAATTTAAAGGTATATTTAAGCATAGTTAAGATTGATAATTATACATTTTTGGGAGGAAATAAGTTGCAGGTCTCAGGAGCTGCGGCAACAGGGAAGAAACTAGAATTTTATCCTCAACCCAAAAAAATACTTAGTTTAGAGTCCGAAATTTTTTGTTACAAAAAATAATAGAATTTTGTTACAAAAAAATAAAATAATAGAAAACATAGTGCGAACCATGAAATCTTATAGTATCTTAATTTACATCCAATTATTTCGTCGTTTGGCAAATTCAATCATATAAATTCAAAATTTTTTTTGACAATTCTTTCCATCGATTACATAAAAATGATGTTATTTGCAAGAAATTCTGTCAAATTTTTTATTTGTAACAAGGGTTACTCTCTCACCAATCAGAACAAAATTAATAAAAAAACGTATAAAATTACATTTCTTTGGGCAATTACATAATTAAAATTCAGCACATAGGAGGATACACGGACAAAAAAAAAAAGAAAGAAAAGGCAGCAAAATTGACTCGTGTAAACTTCGACGTACCAAAACAAAACCCTTTTGTTTATATTCCCCAAATCCACCTCTCCTTTTCTCATCTTCTCACTTCAAAATCTCTCTCTATATCTATCCTCTCTCTTTCTCTCTCACCTCAGATAATGAACTAAAGATTTCTCTGAAAGCTGACTTCAAAAGCTTTTTCTGAAGAAAGAAGAAAACAAGCTGATCTTTAATTGATATTTTATTTATTTATATGTAAATTTAAAGGATGGGGAGACATTCATGCTGTTATAAACAGAAGCTGAGGAAAGGACTTTGGTCTCCTGAAGAAGACGAGAAGCTTCTTAGGTACATCACCAAGTACGGCCATGGCTGTTGGAGCTCTGTCCCTAAACAAGCTGGTAATTAATTTCAATTAATTAACCAATTTTTTAGTAATTCTCTTTCCTAATTCTTGAACTGACTTTTTTTTCTTTTTTAATAAAAATTTAGGTTTGCAGAGATGTGGAAAGAGCTGTAGATTAAGATGGATAAATTATCTACGACCAGATTTGAAGCGAGGAGCATTTTCACCGGATGAAGAAAATCTCATTATTGAACTCCATGCCGTTCTTGGAAATAGGTAAAGAACTGTGCCATCTCTTCCGATAGCAAGGCTTATCACTGTGTATAAATATATTTAACAGTTGTCTTCGTTTTGGTCTGGTTCGGTTTAGGTGGTCTCAGATTGCTGCACAGCTTCCTGGTAGAACCGACAATGAAATCAAGAACCTGTGGAATTCTTGCTTGAAGAAGAAACTCAGGCTGAGAGGGATTGACCCGGTTACACACAAGCTCTTAACCGAAATCGAGACCGGTACAGATGACAAAACCAACCCGGTTGAGAAGAGTCAGCAGAGCTACCTCGCTGAGACAGAAGGCTCCTCTAGTACTACCACTGGCAGTACTAACCAAAACAACAACAACACTGATCATCTTTATACCGGAAATTTCGGTTTCCAACGGTTAAGTTTAGACACCGGCTCAAGAATACCGACCGGTTCAGACCTCGGCATATGGATTCCCCGAACCGGAAGAAATCATCATCATCATGTTGATATCAGCGCTGATACCGTCCCTAGTGCAGTGGTGCTACCCGGTTCAATGTTCTCGTCCGGTTTAATCGGTTCGACAACCACTTACAGATCCTCCAATCTCGGTTTAATCGAATTGGAAAACTCATTCTCAACCGGGCCAATGATTACAGAGCAGCAACTTCAAGAGAGTAATTACAACAATTCGACATTCTTTGGAACTGGAAATCTGAATTGGGGATTAACAATGGAGGAACATCCATTCACAATAGCGAATAATTCTTTACAGAATCATTCAAATTCGTCGTTATACAGTGAAATCAAATCGGAGACCAATTTTTTTGGTACGGAGGCTACAAATGTTGGTATGTGGCCATGTAACCAGCTTCAGCCTCAGCAACATGCATATGGCCATATATAATCCTCGTGTATATCATAAGGTGTGTGAATCTTCTTTTTCTTCTTCATGTTTTTTTCTTCTTTTTCAAAAATTGAACTAAATATATGGTTGTGTATATAGAGTTTGTGTTATATATCATTTAATTTAACAGTATTGTTTTTACATTTTTCCTTTTTTATTTGATGTAATTTGTCAAGAAAAGTTTTACTGGACTTTGAGATTTTGCTTCTCTATTGCTGTTGGACTAATGACATTTATTTTTAAGATTTTTTTGTTCATTTTATATACCCTTTACATCAAATTTAGTAAACACATACATAAACACAATAATAAACAGAATGTCACTTAAAACGAGGTTTTGGACTTACTAGATTCTTATATAAGAAAATAAATATTGTTTGTTTATACATCGTTTGACATCTTTCACATAAGTTAAGTGGTCAATTACATTACAATAATAAATATACACTTGAAATTTTGTTGCATTTTATATTTTAATTTCATATTACCGGACAAAATAATACTATATTGTCTTAAAGATTGAAAAAAATTGGTCAAGAATATAAATTTTTCTAAACCGGATTTTTTTTTGTTAAAAAAGAAGAAATTTACTTAGAAGTTAGAACACTTCCATCCATAGGTTTTTACATGAGTCTCTCACGATTGGGGGAAAAAATTAACATTTTATTGAGTGGATACTCTTGGAGTCTGACTTAGTTTAGAGGAAGTGGGAAGAACACACAAATTAGAGTAAAAGAGAAGAATTGTTTTCACCATTAGTAAATTAAGTGGGATAATACTTTAGTTTTAGAGGAACTTTAGTTTTAGAGGAACTGGGGGTAATTATTTTTTATTCCCTTTTCTTTTTGATTGTTTAGTTTTTATCAAACCTTTAGAGAAATTATTCTTTTCCTCTTTTTTCTGCTAAATCCAGCAACCAGTCAGACCTTAATCAACCTAACATAACATCTTTATCACTATAGAGTAGATCGTTATACTATGCTGTAATAGCTGTGAAGGATTTCGAAAGAGTATAAAGGTTGATATATACTGTTAAATGAAACAAATGGAATAAGAATACTCCATCTGTTTCATTATAGTTGATTTTCTGAATATTTACACACAGATTAAGAAAACTATAAATGCTCAATTATTTACTGTTTATTTTTATTAATTAAGTTACTTTTACAACTGACTTCATTATTTATATTATTACTTTTTCTTTTTTAACTGTGCATTAATGGAGTAAAACAACATGCATTAATATTATTTATTCAATTTAAAGAAGAGACATGCATTTATTAGATGTAGGAAATCAAATATTATGAAACAAGAAAAAAAACCTAGAAAATCAACTATAATGAAACAAAAAGAGTAAGATCGAAGATAATTATTTATTAATAATATTGAGGAATCTCTGGGATTAATATTGGCAATTGGGATTGAGTAATTATGGTATTATGTTATCTTCTAAGACCTTTTTATATATAGATAGACAAAGCATTTATTCGATTGACTATTGTAACATATTTTAGGTGAAGCTTCTAAAAAAAGGCAGTGTATCTTTAAAATAGGGACAACTTTATTGCTTTATCTTTTTTCTTACTTTAATTTTAGTTTCATTTTCAATGAACTTAAGGAACAGTTTTTTACTTTTAGTGTCTTTTTCAATTCTAAATAATCATATATATATATATATATATATTGATCTTTTAATCCGGCAACTTTTAGTTTCTACTTACTTCATCAGGTTTCTCTTCATTTGGTCAAGTTCTTTTTTTTAAGTTCACTCTAAAAGAACATTAAACTAAAGTTGCACTCGTAAAAACGTATGTCTAGTATATTATGCGTATATAAATTAGTTTATTAAATTTTGTTGTTGTCAACAACACATGGATTTGTATCTAAATAATGACATAGTATCACAATTTAGATAAATCAGTGAATTAAAAAATTTGGTCATTTAATTTGTTTGATTTTTGTTTCATCTTTTCTGATATCGCAATTGATTATAGATATATGTATATATAGCATGTATTTAACAGAATGAAAACATCCACGTGGTTTATATGAGCTTGCTTCTCTTGATTTATTTTGGGTTGCTCGTAAAATTTGATGTATTAACAATCACAATCGACTTTCAATGATGATAAAGTGAACAAAAGACTGTTGGGTTCAAATAATTATGAGTAACTCTAGTGACAAATTCAACTAAATTCTCTATACTAATCAAAAATAATACTGAAATGGATCAACATATATTATTGTTTATTTTCATTTCATAGATATCTTTGATACGGTCAGTACCTTGTTCTTTTTTATAGTGTTTGCGAAAATTAATTGTAGTTATGCCGTGATTGATGATTGTCTTATTATATGCTCTAATTGTAAAATCAAAATCCAATTACGGAGAAATTCTTATTATGTCATATGAATAGTCGAATAATTGAATGATTTAATAACATAACACGTAAGCTAAATACAGTTTTCACAATATAATCGTAAATTAATGATGTTTTATTTATTGTAATTATATATTTAACACGTTCAAAATGTTTTACGAAATCACATTTACAAACTAAAAGAAATGCACCTTAACCTATATGCAAACTCTAAATCATAAAAAGTACACGTCCAATTAGAATTAAAGTTGCTTAAAGTTTTGATGCCAATATCTTCGCCCTTGCTACTATAGTAATGATATTGGAGAAGAATACCAGAACTAAGTTGGTTATGAACTATTATATGATTTAGCTTTTGAACTTTATATAACCCAAAAAATAAGAAAAAACAAACATAAAAACTCTAGGATGATTATTTTTTTTGTATAGGAGATAGTTTACAAAGATCATTATCAGTATATAATATTCATATATTTTTCTGTGATTTTTTTATTTATTTTAACCTATTTGATTAATTTTGGCTTTTAGGATAAATTTATATTTATAATCTTAAAAAGTAAATTTATTATTAAAAAAAGAAAAGAAAAACCAAAATTTGAATTTATCCTAAGAAAAAGGTTAATAAAAAGGTAATTTTTTTTATCATTTAGATTAAAGATATTAAACAATAAAAAAATTAATCGCAAAAGAACAAAATTCTAATTTCTCATATCTATATAAATAATTTGATAGTATATCAATTACATACCAAAAATATAAAGTTCATTAATCGTTTCTTAAGGTATTTACTGCATAAAGTACCTTATCAAAAAATTTGTTTCTAAATTTAATATTGTTTACTTTCGAAAATTTTTTTCATTTTATTTTTTTAACATATTATCAATTATTTTATTATAAATCCGCATATATGCGGGTTCTAATCTAATTTTAATAAGTTCTGAACAACGTGGAATTGGTTGGTTAAGATTATTTCGGAAAATTTTTGGATTCACCCTTAGGGATGAATTCATTCATTCACCCATTCCAATTAAAATCTGCCATGTAATATTATTTTTAAATAAAAATACATAATTAAAATTAAAAAAATAAATATTCAATCAAATATTTTATTAAAAATATATATAAATAAATAAATAATGTATATAAAAATTAGAATTTAGGGTTTAGTTTTTTAATGTTTATAGATTATTAGACTATAAAATTCTGAAAAAAAAAATAATTATGTAAAAATATATGTTTATTAAAAATAAATATAAATAAAATTTAATATTATATTTGGGTTCATTATTTCTAATTTAGGGTTTAGTTTTTCTTTATTTAAAATTCTGAAATAAAACAAATAATTATGTAAAAGTATATTTTTATTAAAAATAATTCTACATAAACTTTAATATTATGCTTGGGTTCATTATTTACAAATTGAAGTTTAGTTTTTTCCTATTAAAAATAAATATTTAAAATATACTATTTTGATAAATTACTTTAATTGATTTTATTATATGACAGATTCTCATTGGCTAAAATGAGAGAGAGTGAATGAATGAATTCACCTCTAGGGGTGAATCCAAGAATTGTTTGATTATTTCCTCTATTTTGTTCAAATACGTAAAAATATTTTACTTCTTCTTTTTGCTACGAATATAAAATATCATTTACAAAAGCTTAACCTCTATATTTTGCTTCCTTGCAAAATAAAATAAAAGAAATAACAAGGAAACAAGAATTGATCGAAAATATGATTTCTTTCATTGCAGCCATAGATCCACTAAACCACCGATATGCTTACAATGCTCTTTCTTCGTGATAGTATTTCAAATCTCTTTGTTAATATCTTTGAAGATAATCATTAGAGGGGTTGCTTGGAGGTTGTGGAGGGTGTTGTTCCTCTGTTTTCAGACGTGATACACCACTGCTTGAGCTATAATCTTCCTGACGATTTGGGTAGAAGCACTTTTACCTTAGTGGTTAAGTCAAGTAAACCAGTCCATGTATCAAAGAGAGCATGTATAAGACTCAGTCTAGGTAAAACGGCCTGCCAAATTTTAATATTAACCTCACACATCTCAGAAGTAGATATGATCTCTTGTTTCAACATAAAGTTGTTGGAAAATGCACTCCCCAAAACGCCATTCTTGATCTGGTGGGCAGCTTGTTTAGACTAGAGGTCCATACCATGAGATCGTTTTAGGGATAACACTTTTGAACTAATCAGAGCTAAGAATTATGAGCTTCCTCTGAATGGAGTAGAATTTATATATTACTCTAGAAATGTTTCAATTTTAATTTTTGACTAAGAAGTTCTCGCTCATACACCTTTTAGGTCCGAGACTAAAATATATTATATAGTCTTGTGATATTTGTTCCAGGTGCCACTAAATCGTGTTACTTTTACGTTTTGTTTTTAGTATGTTTTCAGTTGAGTTAATGACACTTGATAAATATTTTATTTCAAAAAAAAGACATTTTACAAAACTTATTCGAAATAAGTTGAAAAGAGCCATCATTTTGAAAATACCACTGCAAAACGGACTATTTACAACATTGAAAACCATCCATCAAATAAAAAAACTGGATCACTATTTTAAAAATCATGAATTTTGACCTCAAAACTAATTAATAATAAGTAAATTAATCCATGAAACAGTATAATTATAGAGTCAGATTATTCAGACGGAAAAGGTAACTAATTTTATTAAATGAAATCAAAAGATGTTAAGCCGCTTAGCATTATGGTTTAATATATTAGTTGCAATATGAATTAGAAATACAATGACATAGCCAAAAACAATATACATCGGTTTTCAGGATCCTCATCTTTATATAGTAATAAATTATAAAAACTGTTAGCCTTATATTTAAAGTTAATTCTCTATGTCTTATGATCTTCAATATTTGTAAGTTGTTATCATTTTAAGAATCCATGTATGTGGATTCTAAAATTTCTGCAGTATATCTTGGATTCTGTTTTTAATTATTTACTCATGAAAATCCATTGAATATTTGAAGTGATTCATTACACAAAGATTTTACATTTCTTTTAATTTTGAATAACACTGGGTTTTAATAAAGTATTTGAAATTTTCATTGAATAAAACCAAATTTAAATCTCAAGCATGATTTACAAAAATCAAAGATTCAATAACACTGGAATCTAAAGCATATATGATTTTAAATCAATAATTGAATGATAGTGAATTATGGCTGGATTTAAATTTCATTAAAATATATGATTGAATGACAGTATGACACTCTTTATATGAATTTTGTTAATATATAGAGATACAAGTCATGAAACCCGATTTACATGAGATGTTAATTAGTTTTTGCTCCAATTATAATTCATATTGCAACTAAATTAGATTTAACTGATTTTGTGGCAATATTAGGTTTATCTTTATTCTTCATTAGATTATGAGAAAACCTTATCTTTCCTATGTTTTTTATCCCTCTTTTTTCGGATTAATAAAAATGAGCGAGTTAGAAATATATTTTTTATAATAACAATCACTTTTTATTAGTAAAATAACTGGTTTAAAATTATGTTTTTTATGATCATGGGGTATAATAATACTTAGAAAAAATATATCTAAATACAAATTTTTTATATCCCCCTTAAAAGATTATTTTATAAAATTAATATGAATTAGATTAAAAATTTTAATAAAA